CAGGGGCTCAAGATCACGGGCGTTGACTTTGCCGACTTGGTCAACTTAGAGCTGACCGGGAGCCAGCGCAAGATCATGTCGAGTTCCATCCCATCGGCACCAGCGCGTGGGAGAGCGTGCAGCCCAGGTACCATCACTTCAACGAGCTCCTCCTGGTGAATTGCCGGATGAGGATGCAGCACATCCACGGGGACGGGATCATCGACAGCCAGCCCGCGCAGGCTCTTCTTCCAGAAGATCCTGAGTTTCCGCCCGATGCTGTTCGTGCAATCGGTGCTCCACGCTGATCTGAGCTCGCCTTCTTCATCCAGCGCTTCGAGGGCACTTCTCGGCGAGGATGGGAGCTGGTCGATAAGAGGCACGATGGGCACACGCGGGTGGAGCGGCTGTTGTCTCGCCTGGGGCGCAAGGTTGCGGTTGGTCAAAGAGGTGTGGAGTGGGCACGAGAGCTTCACGTCTTTCTTAAACCTATTTTTGCGTCACGAGAACAATATACCAAAGGTGGTAACGGGGTACCAAGATCGAGAGAGTGTAAAGACTCTGCTCGCTCGTGAATGCTTCGGCTTCCATGGCGATCATGGAGCGTCAAGGCCAGCTCCAAGCACGCTTCTGCTTCCACTTAGATCTCGACAGAGTGTCAAGACCCTGCTCGCTTGTTTCTCACCAGCTCCAAGCACGCTTCGGCTTCCATGCAGACCTCGACAGAGTGTCAAGACCCCGTGTCGCCTGTTCCGCCAGCTCCAAGCACGCTTCAACTTCCATGGCCAGCTGCAACACTTCCTCTAGAGCCCGCTTCAGCTTCCACACCCGTCCTTGAGCTAGCCCGTTTGAACTCCCTCAACCATGCGACGCAAGACCCTGCTTTATCACTTCTCAGCACACTCTCCTCCTAGCTTCTCGTGTTTGAGCACTTCAGCTTCTCGGCCAGCCGTCACAAGACAACAGCTTCTTCGGTCAGCCGCTACGCCATAGCTGAAATCCCAACTGCTCCAAAAATTCAAAAAGCCGCCATGTCACGGGTCAGTCGCATCAAGTGTACAGCTCTCGTGAATGCAGAACTACCAAGGAGCAACTTTACGCAAGAGTAAGCTAGACTTATTTTGTCCTCGCTCACAAAGTACCGCACAGCATGTTACCTGGCACCACCCAATGAAAACGGCAATCAATTCAATGGGAAGCCACATGCCTCAACTTCTGGGATTGTTATTCCATATGTGTGGGCGAAAACCCCTTCCTCCACGATGAAGACCCCATCTCTGTAACGCATAGCTGGAACTTTAAACCAAAGCTCCTCACTTTTTTCCGACCTGTGACAAGACAAGAAGCTTTGCAAGCTTTGCAAGATCGACACAAGAGCAAGCAAGACGCCCATGGGAAAGACAGTCAAGTGCACAAACCCACAAAGAACGAGAAGAGCTTGCGCCCCACAAATCAACCCTCATCCT